ATAAAATAACTCAAAAGATCCCAGTTTTTCAGTAAATAGCTTTCACCCACTGAAGATTTATAAGTAATAATTATGTTGTATCATTACACCAATATAATTTAAAAAAAACCCCAAAAAACTGGAGATGAAATTAAAAATTACTTACCACAACTGTTTTGGTTTTCCTGAATGGGTGAAGAATCCCAATTGCTATGAAAATCCACCAATATCTTTACAGTCTGGAGAGTAAGTGACTTGTTTCAGAAGACCATTTTTATAGGTGCCAATTTTGAAGTTTTTTTTTTTTTTTTCCATGCCGACTTAAAATTTTTTATTACTTTTATAACCAGCTCATATTTTAACTTACCAAAATGTTAAAATGAAATAAATTAATCATGGTTGTAGGAACAATGAATTTGCTTGTCACTGTTAATCATATATATATATATATATATATATATATATATATATAACTAAAAAATTGTGTCATTTACAGGGTGTGATGGATAAATTGTCTAATTTAAAAAAAAAAATGAAATAACACTGACATCTCATTTTAGCAGATATATTTACCAAAATTACACAAAATATCTGGAAATACTAAAGGATAAATTTATTCAATAAAATCACCATTGGCTTCAAACATGGCCTCCAGATGACTTCAGAATCTCCTGCAACTCTTCATGACAGTCTCCTTGTTTAAGTTGGTGAATGCTACCATAATCCTTGCCTTCAGTTCATCGTTGATCTTTCACTCAACTGCACTTACTCATAATAATCAAGGATGTTGCAGTCTGGGGAGTTAGGTGGCCAGATGTAAAGGGTGATGTGGTTGCAGAAATTATCTGACAACCATGACCAGGTTCTCCTACTTGTGTGACATAGGGCATCGTCCTGTTGCCAGACATAAGGTCTTCCAGCAGCCACCCTCTTGACCCATGGCAGCACTACCTCCTCAAGGCATCTAATATAGGCTTCTGTGTTGAGTCTGAGGCCCTGTAGGAAGATAAATGAAGGCATAATGTTGCCATTACTAATGATCACTCCAAACACCATGAGGTTGACTGGATATTTCATCCAACTTTTTCTGAATCTGCTGCACTGTCCTCAGATTGACAACCAAACACTGAAAAGTTTGCTTTGAAGCTTTTGGTCGAATCTATTTGTTGTATAATAAAAAATGTAGACAAAACCAAAAATAAGGTTGTTTATTTTCCACTGAATTGGTAAACATTTAACCAAAAATACAAATTCTGTTGATATATTTTTTTTTTTTTTTTTTTTTTTTGATTTTTTTTTATTTTTATTATAATTATGTGAATATTAATTAGCATTCAAAGAGCTTTCTAAAGATATACAACTTGACCATATTGAGAGATATGAAAATGTTAGCATATAGTGGCAAATACAAAAAATTGCCATTTTGAATTTGGCCCAACTCTATAAAACCCTTGTAATTCGAGCCAATGTCAAAAGTCCACCACAAAATTTTGTACATATATTGCTATGAGGCAGACAAATTTGTTGTCAAATTTAAAAAAAAACAAAGATACTCTTTTTGAGAAATTAAAGGTCAAACTTTTACGTCAAATTATCTTATTTGACCTTTAAACAAAAGAATAAATAGATCATCTTTTAGATCAGAGGTTCCCAACCTTTCCTATGCCTTGCACCTCTAGAAAACTTATAATATGATCTTGCACCCCTCCATATATATATATATATATATATATATAAATACCCTAATACAGTTACACTTCGATATTGTGGATTATTACCAGTTAATATCAAGTGACCTCTTCACAACTGCCCTGGAGTTTGCTACAGTATATTCTGACTTAACTAAGAAAGAAGTGAACATAATTCTTAGTGCATGAAATCTGTCCTCATCCATAATGGGGACCAATGGATTAAAAACACTAATGACAATTTTGACATCACCATGGGATCTTTAGACTCTGCAGAGTCTTCTGACCTTGTTGGTCTATTTATACTGTACAATCTAACCGCGCACAGTGAATTAGACATTAAGGACATCAGGTTATACAGGGATGATGGGCTCATGGTAGTGAGGAGCTCCACAAATTTTAAAATGGATAAAATTAGAAAGATAATATGTAGTGAATTCAGAAAACTAAATTTAAAAGCTATAGTCAACACTAAATTAAAAAGGGTAAACTTCCTCGACGTAACTCTAGACTTAATGAACAACATATACCTACCTTACAGAAAACCTAACACATAATTAAATTTCTAAATAATGAAAATTTATTAAACCATAGACATGAGTTTTTTGCCGACATCAACAAATTTTCGTATTAAATAATTAGCATTAAAAAAAATCAAATTTCGTAGTTTAATAAAGGGCTTAAAAGCTTAACCCAATCATTAAATAGAAAAACCCTTTATGAAGCCGTCAAAAAAAACAAAACAAAAAAAAACAAATTGTAGTTCAGTGCAACGCGTTTATATATGAAACAGCCCTTTGGAAAATAAATAAAATAAAATAAATCAAAATTCTCCACACATTTAACACCATACCATGGTGCCAAAATCTATCTTTCTCTGTGACTGACCAGACGATGTGCGTACATGAATGCCATCATTTGCTTTGAAATAGACACCCTACCCTACCTCAGCTTGACCTCTTCCCGAAGGTGACTGATATGTGGATAAAAATTTATCAAAAATGGTCGCCCCTAGCCATTTCCATAGTAATGAATGAACATGCTTATAAAGATGCGTAAATTTCAAGATTGGTTATTCCTAAATTTTTGCTTGAGGATGAAACAGGGCTTGTTACTTTAATTCAATTTAATTTTAATAATTGTAGTGAGGGTTTCGGCTCTCGTTTTTGAAACATAAGAACTCTTATATAGTGAAGGAATCATTTTTTAATTTTAAAAATAATTATAATTTAAGCTCTACTTCTGTATGGACCACTGTTTTTTAAAAATAAAAACAAAAATACGAAAGAACTCCGGATTATTTACCTAACGTGTTCTTTCCTATTTTTCTACATACCAGAACATGCACACAAGTAATATTTCATATGAAGATGAAGGCAATTTATACTCAGTTTGAGCAACAAATTTATTTAAGCTAATTTATGAAATACATGAAAAAGAAGGGAAAAAAAACTTATAACAAACTTAAATACAAATAGTACAAAAAATTAAGCTTTTCATTCAATGTAAGTGTAAATTAAACAATTTCAAAAAACTGAAATCTAACATTAAGAAATTCACATCAAAAAATGTAAAATTTAAATCTAATGGCTTTTTTTTTCGCATTTCTTGGATATGATTTTGTCAAAATGTGGTACTTTGTAGCTGATAGTGATCTGCATGTCTGCCTGTGGATTCATGTGATTTTTAGATTTTGTCTTGATTGACACGAGAACTAAATCCAGGTTCACATAAGTATATGGTCACAAATGGGATAAGAAAACATTCTTTTTCATAAAGTCTTGGAAATATATTCATTGTTGAATACCAATACTCCTCCAAAGTCTTGCTTTCAAATTGCATTTCAAGAGCATGATTTGTCTGTAAATCAATAAGATCTTCCTTCTGCTTTTCATCATCCAACATGTTATCCAAATTGTAGGAGTATGGATTCATGATCCATCCTCCTGAAATCTTCAGTTCTCCAGCTGCAAAATATCCATCAAATGATTTTGACAGCATTTCCAAATGAGCCACAATGTCTTTATGCACAGTAGGAATTAGAGATCCATTATCATCAACAATTTCTTCAAGTGATGGACAATTTGAAAGATTACCTCTTTCCATCCTTTGACACTAAAGAGGTAACTTTTCTTTGAAAGCTTCAGCTTTTTGCAACATTTCAATATGTTCATATCTTTCCCATGAAAAGAGACACATAGTTCATTCATATGAGTGTCAGCCAAATAAACCAGCATTTGCAGGAAATTTTGTGATTCCAATTCACCAATCAGATCATAGTCATATTCCTCCAGAAAAACTTTGATTTCAAAGTTCAAGGCAGGTTAAAGTTGGCCCTCATGAGAGCTATCGGACTTCCTTATGGAAAAGCAAAATTGTATGTTCATTTCCCAGATCTTCACAAAACAACTTAAAGATGTGATGGCTAAAATCAGCAATTTATAGCAAAAAAAATTTTTTTTTTTTAATAAAAAAAAAAAAATCATTCCAATCGATTTAAATTCATTTTGCAATATAGCAAAGTATTTTGCTTATTGAAAATATTCAATTTAATCAATTAGTTTGAAATTAAATCTAAAATAAAACTCCAAGAAAGTTGTTTTTTTTTTTTGTTGTTTTTTTTAAACCTTAGGTATTGCATATCTTTGTAGATGCATGCATACACACATTTTTTTTTTTTTTTTTGTGTGTATATATATATATATATATATATATATAATTCCATTTTACCCTTGAGTTTTTCCCTAGTTTTCTTCTACTGTTCCTGCTCCTCATTACTACCTTCTCTGCAGAACCTTAACTGGTTCCAGTTTAGAACAACCGGAGATTAGGTAGATAAAAACTCTGATCCTAAGTTGAAAAGCATAATGGTCACATACAGATACAAGCAGAATAATATTATCGATGAATTGATGGTTCAATATTAGTGTGTCAAAAATGTTGTTCATCCAACTCATTTGTAAATTTTAGAAAATCCTTGATACAGGTATTTGATATAAATTTTCTCAAACTGTCCTTTTTTTTCATATTTAGTTTTGTATAAGAATTGATATTTTTTACTTCAGGAAAGCTAAATAAAACTGCTCTGAACTTATGACTTTGAAATTTTTGTTTGATACACTTTCACTTGAAGGCCAAAGACTAAACTGGTCAAGATATTATAAAAGGAGAAAAACTATTCAGAAACTATCAAAATAAAAAAAAAATTGAATATTATAGCATTAGATTCTAAACTCATGCCTTTTCTCTTCTACTTCCTTTTTGCAGCATGTGCCTTCTGATGTATACTGGTACTATCTCATTGAACTGTCCTATTATGTGGGATCCAGCTTAATGCATTTCACAGATGTTCGGAAAAAAGTAAGTTTGCCTTTCATATATTTGTGGTCTGTTATAATTAATGTATTTCACTCTGATCTTCACCAGCTTTTCGTTTTATCAGTACAAAAAAAAAACACTTATTCCTTGGGGTGCTGTTTGGTTTCAGCCTATTGTTGAATGTTAAATGTAACAGTGCATATAGCATACAATTACATGATTAGTAAATGGACATTGTTTGATCAAATGGAAACTGGCTTTGAAGACAGTGTTTGTTTCATTACTGAATTTTTTATATAACTTATTACATGTAATATTTTAATGGAAATATATAATTTTGTGTGTGAAAAGAATCTTTGTGTTATGAAGCTATAGTTTAACAGGACTAATGATCTCATTTGTATATTTAACATTCATGCATGAACATAGCTGATAGACAATAGATTGAATTTGAATTTTTCTATGTAATATCACTATAAATGGATTTTGTGTCATATCTTAAACTACTTGACAACCCACTGATAACTTGATGTTGAATGAAACCTTGCTTGAGAAGAGCAGATGTATGAGATTTTATAATGTTAGGCTCTTCCAAAGAAATTCAGCTCTGTATATATTATTAGGAATGCTATATCTTATTAAAGTTGCTGGAATGAAAACTGTATTTTAAAAAATTTTATAATGTATATTTAAAGTCTGTGCCTCAGGGTTTTCAAGCAGATTGAGTTGGATCTACTATACAAAAATATAATGTGACTTTTACTTATCAAGTACAAACTTAACTTTCAGTGAAGAAACTGAAAAACTTTTCTAAAAATATAAAAACTGTTTGGTAAGTTGTATATTCTGCATGAAAAATTACTTTTTATAAAAAAAGTAATTTTTCATGTAGAATATACAAGCTTGTTTTTGAGGATTAATTCAAATCCAAATTTTGATATGATCAAATAATAGTATAGATTTCATTATTCTTTCTCTCTCATGTATATGAAGGGAAAGTAAAAAAAAAATTATTTGCACTCTTGTCTAAAGATCTGTTATGGTGAAAGTGTGAATAATTTTTCACTTACCCTCATTTTATTTTACACACACACACACACACACACACACACACACACACACACACACATGCCAATAAGGAAAAAATTGCAAGACTGAAATATAAAAGCCAACTGGCTACAGTATGTGCATGCTAACAAGCATTGAGTATTCTGATAAAATTTTAAGTTTTCTACCATCTTGTAACAATGTCATACTCATGCTGGTGCAATGTCTGAATTTTAGATGGTGATGCATACTGTGTATAGTGAAAAAGTTCAACACAAGTACATGTCATGGAGACACAAACACGTTCTTTTGTTCAAGTATAGCTGTCTGAGAGGGATTAGGTTGTGAACCTTAGAAAGACTGGAGGGTCATTGTGGGAATGAAATTGGTGTGCCTGTTGGATGTGATACATTGGTAGTGCCTTGATGTTGTCAACAATGATCATATAAACATCCATTCCTATATTTGGAGACCAGATTGTGGACAGCCACATAGGTGGCTCCATGGATGGTTGAAAATCAGACTTGTAGCTGAACTGTTTATAAAGACTGTTAAACATTTTTCAATCTGTTCTGCTGGTATTCTTTATAACAAGACATCCATGTACTCTTCCAGCAGGATAATGTTGGCCCATATGATATTCATGCTCTGAAAGATATTCAACAATTCCTGTCTCCCAATGATCATGTTTAAGATGATGCCAGACTCCTTTAGTTGTCTCACCTATGACACTTGCTGTATTGTGTCAACAGGTACAAGTGGTGTGGAATAATATATCAAAAAATGGTATTTATCATCTGTACAATTGCATGCAGGTAAAAATACAGTCTTGTGTTGACACCTAAAGAGAATGCATGAATCTGAGGTCTAGGTACTGTTGATATACTACTTATTTTGGAACCTGTACACACACACACACACACACACATATATATATATATATATATATATATATATATATATATATATATATTAATTACCTGATGATAAAGCAACCCAGGGTTTTATTATAAAAAAAAATTAATGTAATACTTAGTCAACCAGTGTTGAATATCCGAATAGTAACTGTTTTTATATATATATATATATATATATATATATATTGTGGAGAGAGACAAGAATTATGAGGAAGTATTTTTGGAAAAATAAAATTCTTTTACATGTACTTTTTTTATCATATTAATGTATCTAGGCTAATAACTATATTGGATTTTAGTTCAGTTACTCATTTTTGTTTGTAAAGTCCTTTTATCAATTATTTATGGCCTTTCATATTTGGCTTGGGGAAAGTTCTCTCTGGACAATTTGTTTAGGATTTAATAAATTATTTTTAAAGTGTAACAAAATTATATTTGTTATGGAGTAGAAAATGTGTATTTTATAGCTTTATATAATGTTTAATAAGTTTTTATTTCTCTTGACATTCATATTTTTAGCAAAATGTATAAACATATAATTGAAATATGTTTCCTGATATCTATTAAGAAAGACTAAGAAAAATCATATCTTCACTTCATTTAATGAATTCTGATATGGCTTTATAACTGTTACATAGTTACAACATACAAATAATAGCAGTTATATTTGTCATTGTCACAGATTTTTGGTTTTAATTTTATCTAGTTATTTTAGCCAGCTTTTTATTTTAAATTTTATCACTAAATCAATTCTGAATGAATGTCCAATGATCAGTTGTTTTGTTCTTTAGAGATGTTGATTCATGATTACATAAAATAGGAAATTTAAAAATGTTTAATAATTCTGACATTTGAAGCTTTTTTTTTTTTTTTGTTTCCCAAGGAACACAAATCTCTCATAAGTATGTTTTTGGTTTAAAACTTTAAAAAAGATTTCAAGTACAATAATTTTATATAGTTTTCTCTATCATTTTTAGGATTTCTGGGAATTGTTTATCCATCATATTGTTACAATGACATTGATGTTTATTGCCTGGGTCCAGAATATAGTACGCATATCATGTCTTGTCTTGATTGTTCATGATATAGCTGACCCATTCTTAGAGGTAAGTTCCATATTTTCTGCTTTTAATTTTTGTAAAAATTATGATGAAGCATTTTATGAATTTTTCTAATACAGAAAGTTTTATTTTATAACATGATAATAAACACCAAAGAATGTTATGTTGCTTTTTATATTGTGTGAAAAGTTGAGATCCCCCATTGTTGTTCAGTACCAAGACGAGGAATGACAATCAAAAATTTAACAACTTGAGATTTTTTTCACCAGCTACATTAGTGCAAAATGATTCTGTCACAAGATTGTCAGGGAAATCAGTTTGGTTGTGAGACTTCTGTGGCAAGTATATTAAAATAGTCTAGTTTTTTTTTTTTGTTTCCTTTTTATACATCAGTTGGGAGTTCTGACTCTGTAACTCATTGATACATTTGTTGTGAAAGCTCTGAGTTCCTATCAGAGCGTAAAAGAGGTAGACTTGACTGATTGTGGAGTTCACAGATCCATCTGATTAAGAAAATATACTGTCTTTAAATAAGGGGTGTTGGAAAGAGGGAATATTAAGTAAATTAGTACTTGTAGAATATTTTTGATTTATTTCAATTGAATACATTAAGGGTCTGTGTGGTAACATAAAACTTGAGGTAAGTTTTGTTGCCGTCCACTTAGTTTTAAAATATTTTTCTTGATGGTTCTTTCTCTCCTTTTTTTTTTTTTTTTCTCTCCACCCCAAACTAAGCAATAAAAGCCATTAGGATGCAAGAGGTTACTGAGAGTGAAAGAAACAGTACAGTAAAAGAATAAGCTTCAAAAGGACTGATGACTGAAATTCTATTTAAATTTTTGAAGCTCATAATTGACAGGAAAGCAGGGTGCTGGACATTCCACAACTGTGGGAGAAGAAACTATTAGCATAGAACTTGTGGTTACAAATAATTTCAATAGTGAAATTATGAGACTAATCTGCCAATCTTAAATTTATGAAGTTGAGGTGCCAACAAGGAAAGCTCATTGAAAACATTTATAGAAGAGGCAAAAAGGAGCTTTACTATAGTCTTGGAAAAGTGACTGAAGCTAAGATGCCATGTCAGCACTGATAATATTGCAGATTCTACTTTGGATTTTGTCAAGATTCTCTAGATATAAAACTGAAGCACCAGATCAGATGTGGCAGCAATATTCAATGCATAGACAAATAGACTGGTGAGAGAAATTATCTAGCATGATATACTGAGTCAACTTTCTTAACAGCAGATTTAGCAATTCATTCAATATAATCATTCCACTTCATGTCACTGAAAAACATGAGGCCAAGAAAGTGCAGTGAGAAGGCTAAAATGTTCTTTCAGTGATTAATGGAGCAGTTTTTTGTGTCGATTTCACATAAAAGGGAAATGACTGCAAAACTTCCCTCCCCTTTTAGAGGCAAAAATTTACAAAATGCATATTGGGATATTTTTCTTAGCCAATAAAATTGGATGGCTTGTGTTTTGATATGACTCAGTCCAGATCTGCCTTATCTACTAGACAGACCCACTTCGTTCGCTTATCCAACCTTGCTTTTGTGTGCAAACATCAATTCTCTTTTCATTCTATCATATCCATACATTGACAGCTTAATTCCCAGAATGATCCTGTGAATGCAAACTTTACTTACCTAGTAACTGTCGTTTCTAGCTTCACAAGGAACTTACTTTCAAAGTAACCGCAGATAATAGTGACCAAGTTCATTGGGCCATTCTGAGAATTGTCAAGATTCAAGGCTTATTTCATGAGCTCTTTTGATGTTAATCAGCTGTCCTCTATTGCTTTCACTTATTTTCCACCAACAGTATAACATGTACATCTTGTCTATTGCTTGGAAACAAAATACTCATCTGGTCTGTATATCAAACAAACAGAACTTGGAACATATGATTGGGTACAAATGTTTGACTGACTCATCACCACAATAACATAGTGGTCATTCCAGGAATTGTCTTATCTCATAGACAATGACCTCTTTCATTGATTATGAAAGTGACTGTTAGCCTCAAACTCTTTTTTTCTTTTCTTTTTTCATATACAGATGAATATGCAACATGTTAACTGGTATTAATTTTATTATTTTTATCCTGAGTATTTTTCCTTTTCTAAAATTGTCTGAAACTGATTTTTTTTTAAGTGTGAAATATTGATTCAGTAATCAGATTTGAAAACAAACCTCGAGGTACTTTCTAGGATCCTTATTTGTGAAGTGAATGGGTAGAAGCTTTTACACACCAACTGATCTTACTGTAATTGAAATAAAACAAAAACATTGTATCCATGCTAATCTACTCAAGTCTTTTGTTGTATGAATTGAAACATAAGGTGTTTGAGTTCTGTTCATGCAAGTCAAGGATGTAAAAGTAATATAATTGATTTGATATGCAAAACACTTGCCTGTATAAAATTATTTAAACTGCTCTCCACAAAAAAAAAATTGTATTAATATTTATGGCATATGTGCTTGAAATTGAGTTTTAATTCGTAATAGTAAGGAAATGTTATAGATGGTTATTCAGCCCAGCACCCCCTATCAATCACTTAATAGATCAATAATAGTTAAAAACTGAAACTCTATTTTTCTTTTTCTTTTATTATTTTTAAATAGTAAGTTGGGAAATAAAATCTGATTATTTACTTTACTGAGCTTCCTGATAAACTTCTCTCTAAAGATACATTTATTTTATATTCAAGGATTTTTAATTTTAATTGCATAAACACAATATCCACCTGATTAGGGCTGAAGAATTGATCCAGCTAAACATTTTCTTAACATTAAGTATATATTTGGAATGTTAATGGCTTCTCAAAATTAGAGGCACTACTTTGATTTGCTCTGCATTATGTACATTGATGAATGCTAAATTTAAAAAAAAAATCTTTTTTTTCTAAATTTTGTTTCACTCTTTGTGTGTACCAAGTTTATCATTTTAATTTTCTCCTATTTTAATAATTTAAAGTTAGACATGGATGTTTGAGAATATTTAATTACTTCCAAAGTATTGCTATCTGAATTGATATTTTAATTTATTCTCAAGGATCTTATTTTCCAATATATGTGATATGTATATATATATATATATATATATATATATATAGGTTTCATTGTTATAGGGATATCAAAGCTTTTAGCCCAGCTTTTATTCTAACTTAAAATCTAGATCCAAAATGTTTTATTAGGTACTTTATTACTGTATCATAACTTGAGAATTTTTTTTAATTGGGAAAATTATGCCATTTGTTTTTGAATTTATAAAAAAAAAAATGAGTTAGCTAAACTAGTTCATTGATTCTTGTTATGAATACCTTTTGATATATTAATGAATTCATTTGAAGAACTTTTTGAGTAAAATTGATTGAATGCTTTTCCATCTGAAGTAAGAACAAAAGTAAGAATTGTCTTCATTTGCTTACATCAACCCAGCTACTTAAGGATCATTTATTTGAACATGTATGTTTTCCAAGCTTCATTTTAATTAAGGTTGTAATAATAATTTTAAATCCTGGTCACACTGAAGTGATGAATATCTAGTCTAAATATAAACTATAGAGTTAAAATAGAAGTGCTTGTCTTCCATGTTTGTACTTGTCAATGGCTCAGACTTATCCAATCTCTTTGTTGAACACCTTGTAACCAAAATACTCTTATACCCACTCTTTGTTTTATTTCCTTTTTTGATTGTTTATTGGATGTATTGCCATTTTAGGTTTCAAAGGTTTTTTTTTTTTTTTTTTTTTTTACCGCTGTCAATTAACAATACAATCTCATTCATAAAATGTGAATTTGATTTGTTCCGTCTTCAAAGATCATGTTGACAGAGTAAATTTTAAAAATCCTAATCAATGAGGTGAATGCTGAGCTTTCTTAGCCTGTTTCTGTTCAATTAACAATTTAAGAAAGTTTCCTCTGTTATTGTAATTATTTCTTGGGCAGTTATTTTTGTTTTAGTTCTGTGTTTTATTTATTTAATTAATTCACTCCAAGCAAGACAATAATATCACTAAGATACAAGAGGATACTGGGAGTGAAAGAGAATGAGAAGACTTCAGAAGGAACTGAAAACCCAATCCTAAGCAGGAAAAAAGGGATCTCTACTCCTGTTTATTTATTTTGTATGATTCATGATAGGAACTCTATTTGTCATGATGTTGATGTCTAATCTCAAGTGTGATAACATCAGATATGCCAATAAATGTCAGTACAAATAAATATTAGGCTCATCATAGGCTTTATTGATGCTGTACTTCCTGTCCTTTGGGCTGAGATCAAAGTGTAGTATCTTTCCTTTCTTCCTGCTGGTTCTACAGAAGGATGCCGAGAATACCATGAACTGAACATGTGAGCAACAACAAAGTTTTAAAGAAAAAGATAAAAAAGGACTTCTATATCAGAGAGAGCTTGGAGAATTTGACACTCACAGGAAATATTGAAAGCAAGATGGACAGAGGAAAACTGAGCAATATAAGAGCCAGATATTTAGTATACTGGAAACAATTAGGAAAAACTTTTCTGTTCTCAACTTAAAAATCAAAATTTATTGTAAAAAATTAATTTTTGTCGGAATATAGAAATTGATTTTATTTAATGTATTATTCCTTAATATTGATTTTATTTAATGTATTATTCCTTAATATTGGGTATTGGTGTTAAATATATTTTAACATTTTGCTTGTAAATAGATTTTTCTTTGTTCTTATTTATAACTATCAGTAGAGCCTGGCGTTGCCCAGGGATGTAACAGTAAGAGATAGATCAAGTATCGACCATCATAAAGACTGAAAAATAAAATTGACAAAGATTATTGTTTAAGGTTGACGGGCACACGCATGTCTTAATTAGCTTTTTTTTTTTTTTTTTTTTTTCAAATTGGTCAAATTTTAAAGCAAAACATTGTTTTCAATCATTATGAGTCTATCGATTGAATAGAATTTATTATAAACAATTGTCTTGTAAATGGAATTTAAAGCATTCTGAATGTAAAAAAAAGAAAAAAAAGCGTGCAAGACAATAAGAAAAAAAGT